GAATAAGAAGCCCTTCAATTTTTAGGGTAAGGATTTTAGAAAAAAATATCGTCTTATAGTCGGAAAAATACGGTATGTTTCTTTGAAGCCAGGCATATAGCATCGGGACAGATCTGGTCCTATGAAGAGGCTACTGAATAAATCTCAGCAGTAGGTCTGAGAAGTGGAAATGACTGGCTGAATAAGCTTTTGTTGCCTGGTTCACAAATAAAACTAAAAAGGGCCTTTGTAAAGTTTATGAACCTAGGAGTAGAACTTGGAAGGAGATCCTGGAAATTAAAATTCCATCTTAGGATTCACCTATTTGTTATAAAATTTCATAAAGTGAAAGTGGTAATTACACAAAGCCCTGGTCTGATTTGATTGTTGTCCAGAAAGGTATCCTATGCCATTTTTGGAGACCCAGAATGTCTCCAAAGATGATTGCAAATGATTTATCATTTCAACTCACTCATCCCAGTCACAGGAAGGCAGACTGCATCAAATCCAATAATGAAAGGTATTATGGTGTTAGTAAAGGGAAACTCAAAGAAAACTTACTACTTCTGTTCTAGTTAATGCACCTGCATTGGACTAAACAATTCTTCATTCAGTAACTCCTAGTAGACAATCCAGAAAACATGCTGAACAAACAAGCTCATCAGGCATAGTTATGTCAATCAAAATTAGATAGCTAAAGCTGCACGGGTTAAGTCACAGTGAACGAATTTTCACTTTTATTCTGGAGCAGTTTGTTTTCATTACGATTGTTGAACCTTTGACAACCCGTTTTCTTCTTAATGCACCCTATTATCTAGTCTTGGCTTTTGGGGGGGGTCTCAATGAAAGATGTGAGAAACCCTAAGAATCTGGAAACAACTTTTGTGATTATGGTTAATGGGCCAGGTTTATTACTTTGAATGAAAATGGAATGAAAATTATTGGACTTCCGGGGAAAAAAAGCAGACTGAAGATGGCCGTGCAAAGAGAGGAGCCCATGACGATGGTGGAATGAAGAGAAGACCGGCTCTTCAATAATTCCTCTCCAGACAAGGAGAGGACTTGAGATTACCCACAAGTGCTCCAGACAGCAGCTTCTCACAAGAAGACAAGACAGCAGACTCCGCCAGGTTTAGAACTCCGGGAGATGAGGGAATAACCATCAAACGCAACTTACAATTACAGAATGAAGCAAAGTATTTTAACACTGGACATACTGAAGGATATTTTTTAACAATGGACCCAGAAGTTAATTTTAAGAGAGTCTGCCTCTATAGATAGACTGTGTTTAGAAGATGTTATGGAACAGGAACAAGTTTTACCTGACAAAATTGAGACTGATTTGAAAGTGGATTTAAAAATGACAAGCTACAAGAATGACATGGGAAAAGGGTTACACTGGACATACAAAAGAAACCAGCTGATATCTTAATAATTAAATGGGATATAAAAATAACAAACCGAGAGTGACCTGGATAATTTTCCTATATTGGATTTACAAATTGTTAAAATTTTCAAGAATTTTGTGAGAAGGGACAAAGAAAAAATGAAAAGAAACCAAGTTCTAGGACATTATTTGAAGGGACTAAAGATCAAGGTTGTTAGAAGTAAAAGGAAGGAATATGAAGTTGATTTATTTGATCAAGGTTAAAATAAGTATGTTGTTATCTCTGGTAATCCCTAATGGACTTTTGCTGACATCAGGACTGAAATGATGCGGCTTTATGGATTTGTTTATAGATAAGAGATGGGATATGGAAAAAAGATGATTTGCTGTATTTTAAGACAAGGTGGTAAGTTACTAAAATTGTTTATACTTGTTGTAATGAAGGGGGAAAGTCACTTCTTTATGTATTTCTTTTTTCTTTACTATATTATTTTTTCTTTCTTTTCTATTTTTCTTTTATTCTTTCTTTTCTGCACCTTCCATTTTTTATTCTTTTTTTAAAGTTTGTATTAGTTTTTACTGTTGTAATTTAGTCTTTAATAAAATTACTATAAAAAAAGACAAAAACGGAATGAAAATTATCTTGAATCATTTCAAATACTGGAAAATTGAAATGTTAAGTCATAAACCAATTTATACACAATGGCTAAGTTAACACTGTAAGCCAAGATCAAACTACTTTATAGTTTAGCATAACATGCAAACCTATGTTCCAGAGTGCAGTCCTACCTCGGTGGAAATTTCACTTCACTCAGCTGAAATTACTTTGAGTAGGCACCACTCAAGGATTGCATTTTTAATTAAGTGGAACAATGGTGTAAGGGAGCTTTGAGCATAAATTACACAAAATAAATGCATGAAGTTGTGCATGCTTGGTGTCTCAGTGTGATGCTTTGCACATTTAAAAAAAAAAAACACACGCCCAATTTGGCCTTGTCACTACAGTTCAATATCCAGTGCTCCACAGTTGACACTAAACAGATGTTGCAAATCTGCATGTTTTGGAAGCTTCCACATTTTATTAACTATGGTTTGGCATTATCATTTGGATCCTTAGTTTTAAAGTCAGCAACACTACCTATAATTTGAAGCTCGGTTCTTCTTGTTGTAGTTCAGCTTCAGCACAACAAAAGTTTCCAAGTATACCTTTTCAGCTGGACAGGGAGAAAAAACTCGAAGTTCATTGAGACATAGTGACACTGGCCTTTCCTTCCACAACTGGCTAGGGATTACAGATGTTGAAGTCCAGGCCTTTGGAAGTCCCCAGGTTGTGGAAGGTTGGCTCAGACCGCAATCTTGGCTTGGACAAACACAGCAGACTCACACATAACATCAACCTCTTGGACACCCCAGCTCAGCAACTGAAACAACAACATTTTATCTTTATTAAGGAATTCCCATGGTAATGTAACACAGAATTTTTAAGAAAGGAAAAACACACGACTTGTTTTATGCCATTATTTGCACCATCAAGAGAATGGTCAAATATCAGGGTTGGGGGGGGGGTTGTTTTTTGGGGGTTTTTTTGTTTTTTTTGTCTACACACATGATCATCTTAGCACTTACAGCTCCTTCACTCATGTTCACAAGCACAAATCCAAGGGGTAAAATCCAGCTAGTATTAAATTCTACAGAGTTTAATTATTTTTAATGATGATTTTCCTTTTCCTTTAGAGCATCAAGTCACTGCGGTAAATTAATTCCATGTTCAGTGTCATTTTTTTATGCATTTACATAGGACAGTCATTAAAAACAGACACACAGAGCGAGCAAGCTCCCACAGGAAACAACATGCTTACATAGCCTGCAATTTTTTTTCGAAACTTTTTCTATTCCCCACCTCAAAGCACAATGCAAAACAACAATTATGAACATGGGGCGGGGGGGGAGGGGAAGGAAGACTCAAGTGAATAGCAAAGAGCTGCATGTATTTCGCACAACTGAAACAAATACGGTTGCTTGGGTTTTTGTTTTTTTGTTTTTTTACAAAAGAATTGTCCTCCCATTTAAAAAAAAAAAACTTAAATTCATTATTAAAGCACAAATGGAAAAAATAACATTAAAAATAGCTGAAAATATATATATTACACTTACTAAATATTTTCTTAATAAAAGTGCAATCTCTTAAGTAAATAAAAATTAAGAAACCCATTTGAAAGGGTCTGGAATGAATTGCCCTTACCAGCATGAAGGTGGAAAAAAAAGAAAAAGGGCGAGTTACTTTCAAATTTCACACCATTCATGCCACACGTTTCAGCATCCAATTGGCAGGGTTTTTTACACTCCGGTCTGAGCACTGGAGAATTTAGACCAAAGACAGGACGTGTCCTAAGGAATACCTTCACGTGGCCAAATCCATGGAAGGAGGAACACATTGGATTATGCATGTCACCCATTGCTCCATGGCTATCAAGAACACTGGTTAAAAGGAAATCTACAAACATATGTAGGCTTCACACAAGTTCCAGTAAATGCTGTGGTGTAGAGGTGAAAGGTAGGCCCTGTACAGGGCAAGCTGAAAAGGTATGGACACTCCAAGGATCCAGGAGGGACCAGTAAAGTTGACTATAACCTGTAGATATCAACTCTGGAGAACTTGGGGAAGTAATACCACGCTATGCTTGGTTTATGGATGGAAGAAGTGACAGAAGCAATGGCATGTTGGACTGCATCACTTCTGACCTTAAGTTAGAGGAAAGAGAGGAATAAACATTCATGACTTATTCATGTATTAGTAATTTGGGAATCTTAATATGTCATTGTGCTGTGTAAAGTCCTTAGAACCTCTGGCCTTGAATGCAATCCTATTTTTCACGGGGCATCTGGTCTAGTTTATGGAAAGTAGATACTTAAATCTTGCTTTAGCACAGTCAATCTGATTTAAGAATGAAGCTATAAAACCCTTCCAAGGTCACCTATCCAAGACTTGCATCCAAGGTAAGTAAAGGCACAGATTAATCAAATACATGTATGTGAAGACTGGTATTAAAAAAAGGAAGCAGTAAACAATAAAGGAAGGAAGTGGCAAAATACTGACTAAACCAACACAACACGGATGGGAAAGAAAAGGGAGATTATAGAGACTTTGCAAGTTAACCTCTTAGTAGGTTTAATGGAAGTTGTCACATTTCTATATGCTCTGATCATCTAGGATCTGTGAATTAAGCCAATTCTTGTGTGGGCTACATTTGAGATAGATGAATCTCTTAAGTTATACACATTAAGATTCTATCATGGGATGGGAGTGAGCTAAGAGGATCACCTACTTCATTGGACCAAGTTAGCTAATAAATATTAATTAAGAGGTCTCCATGTTCTGCTGAACTATTTCAGGTCAGGAAAACCTAAAGCCAGACGCTTTAGCTATTATGAGTTTTGGCCAAGCAAACACTGGATGGACAAGTAGGGTAAAGTTGATGAATGTTACCTATTCTCTCTCCTCCTCCCCTCAGCAGCTCCAAGTAGCATATTCCACTAGCCCACCCCATAGCATTTCCAGAGACTTCTCTCGCTCTCCTCAGCTGCCACCCATGTCCTAGCAAGACACATCCCATCAGCTCCCTCATTATCCTTAGTGTCTTCCCTTCCTACCCTAAGCAGGCAAAGTCCTTGGCTTTTTCCCCAGGCCACCCAAACCACTTGCATCCAGATCAAAACAACTACCATTTGTTCTGTACACAGATCAGAACAGCCCTATTTAATTCCATGCATGGACCAAAACACCCAAAAGGTGCAAGGTTTGATTCAGGCAATGACTTCAACCCAAAACCTTCAATTCCAAGCCCAAAACAGCTGTTGTACAGAAGAGATTGCCCAACCTCAACTCCAAGGCTAATCCAGATATAATGTGACCAAAGAACTAAAAGGACTTCTATTTGCCACAAGTTTCCATCCATTCTCTTTTTCTTGCATCAAAGAATTCTGGGAATCAGTCCTACATGTCTCTCCTATATCTCAGTTTTCACTCAGCCAAGGACCGGCTCTCCAAGACTACACTATATAATGGTACAGAAAGATGAAGATTGAGCTGAAGGAGGAAGATAGGGCATTCAGATTCCCAGCTATGAAAGAGCTCATGTGTTGTTGGAATGTAAGAAGCAAGTCATGGTGATTTTAAGTTATGCAGCTGGCCCTCTTATTTTGGAACAGTGGTAAGAATGGACTGATGCCCTCTTTTTCTAATGCAACTGATTTTTTTTTAATTTCTCTAAAAGCCACGCAATTTTTTTTTTTTAAATGCAGGAAGTAATTTACAAGATGCTCCCTGGCCAGGTCCCTTGCTCTGAGCGCTCAACCCCTCAAACAAAGAGTCTGTGGCTTGAATTTCCTAAGAACCTATTGGCAATGAATAGAGGTGGAACAGTTCAAACAACAAGCCACTCTATATAGAATCAGGTAACTTTAGGGATAGTACAATGGAGGATCTCTTTTAGAAGGTATGGTTTAGATTCCAAAACTCAGAAGAACATATTGGAGAACCTCTGAAAGGTTATCATTTGGATGCCAAAAATCAAGGCTGAGTTGATGCAAGAAATGACCAGAATATGGTGAAGCTATGGGGACCCTAAAACTCAAGAGAACAGGAAAAAAACTCAAGAGAACAGGAAAAAGGAAAGATTCTCTCCATCCTAAAATAAGGCATCTCAAACAATGCAACGTGCAGGAACAAGTCCACAATCATATGCATATACATACATATATATATATTTAGAAGAAAATGAAGAATCCTTCAATTGCTGCAAGAGTGGGATAAGAATATTAAATATCAAAATAAGATGGGATACATTCTCCACTTCCCAATTACCCCTCGACTCAGCAGCACAAAATCTTCCTTCCTCTAAAGGGAAAGAAGGCCATAAATGGGTTTGGTCTTGGATAATTACTCCCATGTTCTAAGTCGCATGATTGGTAAGTCCAGTTTTGGAAAAGTCCAGTTTAGACCCTTTATTTCTCTTTCACGAAAGCAAAAAACAAACCTTAATAGATGAGGAAAAAAAGAGGCAGCTCACAGGAAATTCACTTTATCCTTCCTTTAAAAGATTAAAAAAAAAAAAAAAAGAGGCAAAGCAAAGAAACGATGATGTTCATGGTCACGTCAACTACAAGTTCTACACGTCAATGTTTATCTCTTTCAAAAATGGAAAAGTGGGGGGGGTGTCTGTTCCCAAATGTGGAGGAAGGGAGAAGTGAGCAGGTTTTGTGAAGAGATGGGGTGGGAAATCATTAACAATAAAAGGAAGGGGGGGGGAGACTATGGCCTCAATTAGGCCTTATCCACTGCTTGCCCGCAGTAACCATCACAGGCTCTAAAAGAATTATTTTAAAAAAAAGGTCTTTTCAAGTGCCCCACCCTCTCCCACCATCTGCTAAGTGGACTTTTTCTCCCCCCATGTTGTTTTTAACCCAAGCTGGTGATGTTGGCGCGGCCACCAGGTGGTGCAACTATACGCTGCGTAGTACGCCGTGGGATATTATCATCGATTTGTGCACCTAGGAGTTGGAGGGGAGGGGGAGAGAGAGAGAGAGAAGCATAGTGAGAAACTGAACATGTACACATACATAAAATGAGTCACTGAATGGTGATTCCAAACTAAATCTAAAGTGTTTCCATTTGGCTGATTGCAATCTGGTGAATCTGATCAATCAATATCGTAAATTCATCTTGACTTGCTTTGTATTGGAAGGGTGAAATGGAAAATCCCATATGAACCCTAATTCATTTCTTCTTATCTTGCATTTTTTAAAAGACCCAAGTATAACATATATCCCCCTTAATAGACTCATTCTGGCATTTCGACTCATTCTGTCTTCAGTATCTACTATCAGAGAGGAGGGTGATGTAATCTCATTAAACGTCGTTGAAGATTATTACTCTGGCCATAGAATCTGTATTGAGAAGACTGCTCAGTACTAATTTTTTCTTTACTGTGGCTCATTTTTGGTAATTTTATCAATTCTGTGTTCTTATATTTTTGGTCTTTAATACAGTAACACAGGGCTTGAACTCTGCTGGACTAGATGATTTAATAAAATGTACACCAATCTGCATATAAATGAAACTCTACTTCCAAAGGAAAAGATCTGTGCCATCTTTGAAGAGGCACACCTTGATATGCAGGAGAAAACAAAAATGCCCTTAGGAACATCTTTCTTCTTCTTTTTTAATTAACTTAAGAGAGAACTAAACAATATAAGCCCAATGTCATTCCATTACTATGAACTATGATCATTTCAATCAGGAATTCTGGAAACTGCAATTGGAAGATGCTGAGATGTCTCACTGAGATCTCCATCCCACCAACCCAAAAGGTGTCCCGGGGTGATAAACCAGCTAAGTAAGAATGCAGCTTTACTTGGTTATATGAGCATGACTAAGAGGAAAATAATCTTATGCCAAGTAATTCCACTGGCCCATCTATTTCAGCAATGCCGTCATTGACTGAAACCCTGGTAGGGACAAACAGGAGATACCAGGGTAACTGAGACCTTTTGGATTTAAAACTGGTGCTCTATCAGTGAGGTATGTCCCTTAGCATCATTCATAAAGAGCCTGAATATTTCAAGCAGCACTACCATGTTCACTTTTTTCTGACAGTAAAATTAAATCATCTAGTCCAACTTCCATCAGTTAATTTGGTACTGGTGGGACCTTTCCATCATTAGCTACGGAATTCTGTCCACCCTGAGGTCAGGTTGCCCTAGTCTGTCCCTCTTACTAGAGGAACTGAAGATTTATTGGTTTAAATTAAGCAAGGGGTTATGATCCCGCTAGATTTTTGAATTAGTCTCTCTAATGGGCCAACCCCTACCCAACAGTTTAGGCAACCACCTGTTTCAAAGCTCTGCTGAAATGTGCAACAAAATCAAACAAACTCTTTTTGATGGGTAGCGAGAGGATGTAGCACAGGTCTGGGAATAAGCCTTCCTTGTCTTTCCATCTGGTTGGAAAGCAAAGCTGAAATGTAACACTAACACAGTGGAATACTTTCTTCAACAACACGGAAACACAAGTGGCAAACAGAACCCTCTAAGCTAGTAAGCAGAACTCTCTTACATCCTTCCCTCTCTCCTTCCTCCCAGAATGCTAGCCAAATAAGGCAAGATTCCACTAAAATAGTTTATCCTCACAAAAGTATGTACCCGACAAGCTAAATCCAGACTGGTGCAAGTTCCTCACAGGTGGAGCCTGCTGTTTCGCTGGAGAAGTCTTGGCCGAGGAAGCTGGCGTGACCGTTTTTGGTGTCACCGATACTTCACAAACAGGGCCATCGTACAAACCGCGTGGGACACCTCTCAATTCAGCCAGCTTGGAAGAAGACAATGTCGAGGCAGAGGGGAAGAAAAGAAAGGAAAGAATGAGAAATGCCTGGCAAGACAGTGCCAATTAATCCAGTTACTTTTGTTTGGAAGATATACACACTCCTGCCTTCTCTAAGATTTAAAAAACAGGTAGTCCCCGGGTTAAGAACATCCGGTTTAAGGACCACCCGTAGCTAAGAACAGAGCCTATTGTAGCAAAATTCAAGTTAAATACACAATGATTCAAGTTAAATACAGAATGGTTTGAGTTAATTATACAGTATTATACTGTTCCATCTTACACACAAATGTGACTTAAGGACAGGCCTTGGGAACGGAACTCGTTCTTAAACTGGGGACTACCTGTATTTCAGTTATGATCTCCTTAACATAGTTAATGCAAGGTCTTCACCAGACCATGCCAAGCTGCCTCAACACATGTGCTTGTGAGGCTACCAACAGATGGTGGAAGAACATCAAAAATTTACAAGATCTCATGCAAAACATTGGCATTTGTGCAAAACAGAGAGGCAGCCTTGCACACTGATGAAATTTCATGAAACTCCAAGTATTCTAGTAGGGTGTGGACCAGGGCCAATGTGGGACTTTGCAGTACGCACATTTGCTGACAGATTCCGAATCAGAAGCATCAAAGGATCCACTGAAGGCTAACTGCAGTCCTGGATCACAGGACAGAAGAAACTTTTTTCTACCAAGAACTGCATCATTGGGGGATGCTCTCAGTAATGGCGTGTGTGCAACCACAGGTGGGATTGCCTTGGGGCTGCCTGTTTTTTATCCATCCTTCCTTTTCTCTCCATTTGGTGGGCTGCCAAATGGGAAGATCCTTGCCAGAAGTTGGAACTACTTGTAGAGAACCTCTGGAATAAGGTTTCCCCCAAGATCCAGGTGGCCCTCACTCTGCTGTTGTTTAGAACAGTGTTCCTCAACCTTAGCAACTTTAAAATGCGTGGACTTCAATGCCCAGAATTCCCCAGCCATTCTAGAAGTTGAAGTCCACACATCTTAAAGTTGCCAAGGTTGAGGAACACTGGTTTAGAAGGGTTGTGAAGATCTGCCTCTTCATCCAAGCCTTTGGCAAGGGAGACTGAGACCCGTTGCTTCATTCCATTTGGTCTGTCACACTTGCCATCTTTCATTGGTTTTATTGTAATTTCATCTTTTGATTGTTGTGAGCTGCCCAGAGTCATTGGGAGTTGGGCGACATACAAGTTTAATAAATGAAATTAAACTTTTAAAAATAATCTAGAAAGTTGCTGGAAATTAGACTGAAAGTATACCTATCTCTTCTATATAAACTGATCCTAACCTAAGTCCCTGTGTGTTGGGGAAAAAAAAGGTTTCTTCTTTATATGGGACTAAACTCACAATCCCAGGTTTTCACTCTGTCATGTCCCACTAAGTAAACCCACATCCCAGTTAGTAAGCCTATTATTTTCCCTGCTATATTCACAAATTAAATCATGAAATTAAACTAGTAGAGAACAGTATCTGAAAGAGGTCTATTTTGGCTTTCAAAATTATTCTCTTCCTAGATTTCTTAAAGAGAACAAGTCCAGAATGATTATCGCATTGAGCTACGTTGGCATGCCAACGATTTCAGGATAGGCATTAAGAATTACAGAAGGATCTGGTTCCAATAGAAGGACACCATACCTGATTTTGATTTGGTTTTCCATCTGTTGATAATTGTTTCTGGCTGTGCTTTCTTTACAAAGGAACATGCTTCTAGCAAAAGTCAGTTCCGGTAATTTGACCAGAATTGCAAATTAGGGACGGCTGATCAAATCATCATTTTATCCCTTGACAAAATATAATTTTATTTGAAGGGGGAGGAAAATATTCATTCCATTTGAGGTTTCCTCATTAGGACAGTAAATCAGGAGTCCAAATACCTAGGCCGAGAGTATTGTTAGGAACTAAAATGATGAGTAGCTTCAACCCAGTGTCCAAGTGTCTCCAAAGAGATCAGTCTAAGCTAACAGACAGCAACCTGAACAATTCAAGATGGCAAGAGAAATCTATTTTATTTTCTGATAACTGAGTGTTTTGTGGCTGACCATGCCCATCAAAGCAACCATTGTGTGGACAGACAACATGCTCTCAGAATTTCGAACATGCTTATCAGCGCCCAAAGGTCCCCTGCTCCTGTTTCCAAATTACCATCCTTATCAGCAGTTGCAATTTAGTGGGAAAGTGTACCTATTTTCATAGCATGGGCAGAACATGATCTCTGAAATAGCCTGCCCACTGAAAAAGCTAGGAGTCCAAAGGGGCGGGGGGAAACTAGCTTAAAAAGGCAGGCACACCCAGGAAGATAAATTAAAATAAATGTACATTTACATGTAATTACCTAAATATTATTAATACGTTTATTCCTGATTTAATAATTTCTCCCCTCTATCCCAATAAATATGACTATATGGGTACAGAGAAGCAGGCTGCGTATCTTGAGGTACTAACAAATATTTTGCCAAGAATCTCAGCCAGACTCCAGATTTGAGATTTGAGATCAGTCCAAGTGCATAATTCTTCTCTGTATGCCCATACAGTTTCAAATACCTGATCGAAAGGATCCACGAAAGTTTCCAACAAAGCAAATCTGCTAATCTTCAAGGTGTACCCAAACTTTGTTAGCTTTTCCTTTTAACAGACCTGTTTTAACTGGGTAGCCCTCAGTTGGCAAAACCAGATCAGGAAGGTGATGATGACTCAACCTACTTACCCTGCTTCTTGCTTTGATACGCTTGTAAACGAAGTCAGGGAAGGGTTTCCTGGCAACGTATCGGCCGGACCCCTCAGTTACATGGAGGTTGCCATCCTCCAGCACAATTTTTCCTTGGCTGATGACCACTAAGGGAGACCCACGACACTCCATACCTTCAAAGATATTATACTCCACATTCTAGAAGACAAAAGAAGACAGGGCCATGGTTTATCAGAATCCAGGCTTAAGGAAAATTGAGGAGCTACTACTCAAAGTAATCCAACCTTGGTATTTCATACCTGAAACTGCATTGTTTGTCATGAACACTGCTAGCTTTCCTGTGCCCAGAGAAGTTCTTTGCTTTGCTACTTTAGCAGTGCTGGTATTTATTGTATCTTAATGACATTTTGTTTTTAAACTTGGTTCATGCTGGACTGATGCAGTACTTCAGGAAAAGACAAATGAATAAAGAATGAAATACAATGATTACTTACTATGTGCCGGATACTACTCAATTAAATACCACTGGGTCAGGATTGACTCCTGGAAGCTGTTTGGACCAAAGCTTCCTATCTCAACCTGTTTCTACATGTAATCCTCACTTACCGACCACAATTGGGACTGGAAAATTCATCATTAAGCAGGGCAGTCGTTAAGCAAGGCATCACGAAACCATACCCAATTTTACATTTTTTGTGGTGGTGGTGAAGCAAATCACATGGTCATTAAGCGAATCACGCAGTCGTTAAGCAAATCATGTGCTTCCCCATTGATTTTGCTTGCCAGAAGCCAGCTGGGAAGGTCATAAACAGCAAGCAAAACCAACTAGAGAATCGTAAAAGGCATCTATTGGGGAATCACAAAGCAGCCTGGCCCAGGATCTGCTGAACTAGCGAGGACTTCAAAGCTCTGCACCAGAACAGAGTGCTGCACAGACTTCAGGGGACATGCTATTCCACAGGGCAGGTGCAGCCATGGGGAAGGCCCCCCTCCCAGATTGGTCAAAATGACCCTGCTTCAGCAACAGGACCTGGAGCAAGCCAAGCCTACCAGCTCTTATCAGACGGGCAGAAACAGAACTCAAATAAGATACTGTTTGTATTAGAAAATCAGAAGTAATTCCTCCCCAGGACAGGCTGGGCTTAGAGTTCAGTCTGCAAGGGAAGCAGCTTATCATTCACGATACATCTGCAGTCTTCCCTCAGGCACTCTCCTTGTTGAAACTTGCCTCCTACACATTGCAAAAAAGGTTGGGACACATCACAGAGAACCCAACTAGTTCTCCATCTTGCACTGCAGCTTTCCCCACTCCAGCTGGTGTTCTCCAGAGTAAGTTACATTTGCCAACCCCCAAGTCTCCAGCCAGCAAGACATTTGGAGAAGACTGATTGACTGGATTTCTTTCTAAGGAAGTTTGGGTAAGGTAGACTTATTATATCTCACTATCTCCAAAACACCTCAATTTTTTTACAAAGCAAACTTCAAACAAAAGTTGGTCATGGTAAGTAAAACCTTTTCCCCACGAAGAAGCCTGCCATGGATGAGTAAAAAACAACAACATCTTTCTAAGTTGGCTAAGGTATTTCTGGAAGCCAGCCTGAAAACCAGCACCTGTTGTTTAGCCCTACCGCTGAATACACCTTTTAGTTTCAATATACTCTGCATTCTTTCAAGTTTTGCAACAATACATTGATCACACAGAGGTATCCAACTGCATCATGGGATCTCCTTGGGAAAAGAGAGATTTAGAGAGATGGGCAACACTGCCTTCACCCCATCCTTGCCCAGAGGAAATAACTGCATCTTTGTAATAAAAAGAAAGAAGATTCATGAGCGGAAAACACACAGAAAACTTGGTTTCTAAAAATTCCCTGGGCTTTCTGCCAGGAGCTAGAGATGTAAATAAGACAACAAAGTGCTTGTTCTTTTTCCTTGTTTTTTTTTCCCAAGGCCAAAGGATCAGAAAATGCTCATATCAAATTGTCTAAAAGGTCAGCTCCAACATTTCTTTTCAGACTTCTACTGTAGATGCTCAGAGAATGCTCTGCTCCACTTCTACTGAGGGTTGAAATAAACATAATACAGTGGAATCATAAACCAGATCTCCAAAATTCATTTTAATTTGATTAGTATTCCAGTAAACTGATAAATACAATACATTTATGCATACCAAGACACCTCTGGATTTATTAACTATAAATAATGATGAATGCGCAATTTAAAAGTAACTATATGTACATTCAAATGCATTAATACACTTCTAAGCCTACTGAGTTTCACTACTGCAATCTTGCAGACATTCAGGAAGGGTTCCATGTGCATCCTATACTGGGGATTACCAAATGTGGGGAAAAAATCCACATTTTCAATCCTCCAAAAATGGAAGAGTTGGTACAGAATTCATTTAACACCCCAGAGCAACCTATAGCTGATAATCTGTCAGCCATTTTTTTCTGTAGCTTTTTTCCCACTGGTTAACTGATGTTACAAAAAATGTTTGCCAAACTGGCTGGCAGGGTTTCAGTATCTGTCAAGATAAGGCAGCGTTTCGGTTGTGATCTTGACTGGACCAGAGGAGTGGGTATTCACCTTTCGTTCAGCAACACGAGATGGCATCCAAAGAACTTTGCCCACAACCACCACCAAGGTAGGTTGGGCTGAGAGAGAATAACTGGCCGCATGGCACCAAGGCAGTTCTGTGACTAACAGCGGGCCAACTCCTAGGCTTCCCCACTCCTAGCCCAATACCTTCACCGCTACACTGCCCTAGTTCCTAATCTGCAAACTTACTATGTTATGTGTCTTGGCTGAGATTGTCTTGACACTGTCGGGATCCCAGATCACCAGGTCAGCATCAGATCCCACTGCAATGCGGCCCTTCCGTGGATACAGGTTGAAGATCTTGGCTGCTGTGGTGCTAGTTACAGCAACGAACTGGTTCTCATCCATTTTGCCAGTAACCTAAATCAAAGCAAAGAATGGTAGCACTGGAAAAATAAAGCCAGCAGTAGAAAAAAACCCAATGGGGTCATCAAAGAAATGGCTTGTGCTCATCCTTGCCCGCACTACTCTTTTAGTCTCATTGCGTGCCACCTGCATACGACCATATTGGTGGATTTTACAGCAGCTATAATCCAATATATGTGGAAGGTTTCAACTTGCCTGCAAGAAGAATTATCTTGTTGGGCTATGCCTGACTCTTTGACTTTATTTGCACTTGAACTCTATTGCCCAGGTACAAAATGGGCCTAAGCAGACAGAGGCTACTAAACTGGGAAGACTGGACTACTATAAAGGTCTGTGGGAATGATCTTGGGAGACAGGAGGAAGAGCCGCAGCCTAGACCACCGTCATGTGAAAGGTATCTCAGCCCACAGAAGGAAAAGTGTGGGAAGTGTTTCAGAAGGGACTCTCCCTAGTTTTCCAGAGAGTAAAAGGACAGGAGGAGGGAAATGCTTTCAGACTTGCAAGATTCTGTTATTTGTAATCTTACAACAGTGTTAGTACTCATGGTTTGTGCTTCTTGTTAGTCTACCTTGAAGGTCTGACATCAGTCAATGGCCATTTCCCACAGACCGTTACAACTACAGAGGTAGATGAATGCTAATGTACAACATGATCTCAAAAGACATTGTCCTATCAAGGGAGAATCCCTAAATGTTTTGATACTGAGCCTGATCTGAATGCCCAAGTTTATTCTCTAGATGCCATGGCTTCATCTCACCTGTATCAATGTTCAGCAACTATACCAAGTTGGCATTGGAAAGTTTCTGCCAACCTGTGACCTGCAAGGGATTTGGTTACAGATGGTTGACATATTTAGCAATGGTAGACTTAATCCCCCCCAAAAAACTCACCACGGCTTTATCCCAGATGATGGACATCCTTTCCTCAGTTCCATTGGTTCCTTGTGGGATCAAAGTAAAATTGTCCTTCCCAACAGCTTTCTGGGCAGTATTGAAAGTACAGTGGCCACTGCCAGTAACCTGGAGATCTCCACTGGAAGAAGAAGACAAGAGTTGCTCTGTTTAACAAAGTCAGAATGACAGCAAAAGCAAAACTGCACTTAATCACTGCTTACTGCATGAAGCAAACCTTATGCCAGTCTTCAGATTATTCCTCTCTATAAATCACCTCTCATGGTGATTTATAGTCTTAAATCTTAATTTGGGGGCAAGGACTGGAGTTCTGAGGTACACATTTTGCAAAGGTTCCCAGGTTTAATCACAGGTGGTGCCAAGAGGATATATTTGTATAATAACCTGCCCCTACTCGACCAATTAATAAAGAAAAAGTAGAAAGAGTTAATACAAAAAGTAAAAATGAATAACTAGGAGAAAGTGGGGCAACAAATATCCCTAACCTGTTTTCTTTTGTATCATTTTTAGGAAATATTAAAGTTTTTGCACCTGAATGTTTTGTCTGGTTGCAAAGAGTTGATAAGGGCTGAAAAAACTATCTGAAAGACGCATTCAACCAAATCTGTTTTATTCTTGGCAGTAACGTGTGCTTTTTTAAAGACTATTTTTCTCAGGCTTCCTATGTTAAATAACTAGTAGATAAAGCCACACAACCTATAGCCTGATTAGATCTGGCTTTTAACAAAACTGCAAAGCCAAATCAGAGGACCGGCAACACTTCCTGCCCTTGGTAAAAAGTGGTCCATGTTCTCAAACTACTGCTGAGGGTGTCAATGAACCAGAGTGGAAGAGAAGGTGTGAAAACAGCCTTTTCACAGAACAGGCATAGTCGATTTGGTGCAAATCCAAGCTGTCTGCACAGATCAGGAGAATTCTCTCTCCTGCTATGGCATAATTTTCTGTGTCAAATTCAGAGCCTGCTCACATAAGGATTGCCACCACCCCCAACTCACCAAGAGAGCAGAGAATTGAGGAAGTCCGGAGTAGTTGGGTCAGGACTCAGTGGTGGAGAAGTGACAAAAGCAGCTGCTTTGGCCCAGTTTTTACTCCAGTAATGAGATCCATCGGTGCCCAAGCTGGCTGCAATGGGCTCACCATACACCACAGTGCCTGTTAATCAGGATAGGATGAACAGGAGAATTACCGTCAGACTCAAACAACTCAACTTTACTCTTGGCCTACTACGAAAGAAGAATCGGAGAGCAGAACAAGGCCAGCCTATAGGGTGAGGCCATCATTTTAATGGATGTTAGATCTCAGCCTTTGCTATCCACCAGGAGTCGATATGAAGTGCATTCAATAATACTTGGTTAATAAATCCACAGGCAAACAAATAAACATTGGAAGCTGAACTGGAATTCAACACAGATACTCCATCGCTCAAGCATGATATTGTTTAATGTAGCCCTTGGGAGGACTCTAGCCAAGGTAATTTCCCAGGACTGCTAGTTAAGAACACTGAAAAGATTTTAGGAAAACAACTGGGAACTTTCTGCATTGTTCTAGTGCCAGTGAAGAAATGGAATGAAAGATCCATGGGAAGATACATAGTTCATTCTCAATAAGAAGGCTGCTTATTGAGAGACAATGATGCACTAAGCCAGTGTTTCTCAACCTTGGCAACTTTAAGACCTGTGGATTTCAACTCCTAGAATTGGCTGGGGAATTCTGGGAGTTGAAGTCCACAGGTCTTAAAGTTGCCAAGGTTGAGAAACACTGCACGAAGCATTCTGAAATGGTACAGAAACTGAAAATAAATGATTGACTGATTGAATGGTTAGGAAAACTGGATGGTTAAACTTCATAAGATTTTGGTGATGTAAACCTGATTTTTTTTTAAGAGTTCAGCAACTGTTTTTTAATTCTCTAATTCTGTGAATGCCACTGAGGGGGGACACAGACAGTGTGATCCCCCAATGCACTGAAGTACTGACTCTCGGCTCCACTTCATGAAAGAAAACAGAGAGGTTTGAACAGTTCACCTTCCTCCTTCCTGGTTTTCTTTTCAATTTTCTTTGAAAGAGATTTAGGCCTAGGAGACAAAATCTGAAGGCTCAAGCAAACATTCCCCAACAGGAGCCACTGCAGATATTTTAGCAAGCAACGTCCGTCAGTCCCAACAAGAGTTTCAAGAGAGATTGGAGTTCAAATGTCCACTTAACCAAGAAGCCTACTAAATGATCTTGGAAAGGTTATCGTTTTCTAGCCCAGTCCACCTCACAGGTCGTGAGAATACAACATGCACTGGAACCTCCCTAAACAGAAGATGAGTTAAAAATATAGTTGCAGTAATAATCATTTCTGTGGCAACCCAAGAAATAGCTTTATGGAGCAGGATCTACAAATCCCTTAACTCCGTATGCAGTATCCATGACTAACCAGTTATCATTATGCAACTAAAAATGAATGCTGTCACTACTGAAAGACACAGATAAACAGAAAAGACACCACAGCAAAAATTCAGCATGCAGAGTTCGAAATAGACATGCAGCAGATCTGCAGAATTTTGGCATCATGACATTCCTGACATATCAGACACTGGCTATGCGATCTTGACTGTGACTCCTTTTTTCATACTGCAAAGCTCAGTGAAAATAAATGGGTGAAAACAAAGGCAGATGCTTTTGAAAATAAATAAACAGGTGCAAGGAAAGACAGCTGCTTTTGAAGGCAAGATTCATCAAGGGCTACTTTTCTCGAACTTAATGCAACCGGAGGAAAACAAGATCTGTGGAGCCCTTGATACTCTCTGAGCTTGGCCGTTTGCTTGCAGACGTTTCATTACCCGACTAGGTAACATCATCGGTAGCTTGCCCTGCCAGTGTTGGTGGGGTGTGTGGTTTTCTCCTTGGTAATTCCTTGCTAGCCTCCCTGTATATAAACAGGGAGAAAACCCCACATTCACTCACACTGTTGATGTTAGTCGGTGATGAAACTTCTACAAGCAGCCAAGCTCAGGGAGCACCAAGGACTTCACAGTTCAACCCTGAGCTACATATATTCTCTTGACAAGATAATTGTCAAAAGATGATGGAGGAGGAGGAGGAGGAGGAGGAGGAGGAGGAGGAGGAGGAG